GGGGGGGACACACTTTTCCACTCCTGACAAAAGATGCTAGCTTCATGCGCAAACTGGAAATATACATATATAAATAACAGTGTGTTCAAAGCTGATTGGTACAGTATTAAGATAGGAAACTGCTGCTGCCTGACAGAGATGCGTCACAGAAGACATCACTTTAAACCAAGAGGAATTATTAGAATAATCACTGGGTGGGTGGAGTCTCAGTGAGTCATCCACGGCCTTTCTTGTAGACTGACGTGAATGTACTAGTGTAACACATGGACTCTTGTAATGTCCTCCAAAGCTTCCAATTGTTAAGAGAACCACAGTCATCACATGTGAGTTTGTGTGTTACAGTCACACACTTTGGTCATGACAAACCCATAAAAGGGTAAGAAAGAGAAAGACTGTTTTATTTTACTAGAAAGTCACAAGGTAGACTTCACAAACAGCCTTGTGTCCTACTATTAAAACACAGGATGGTCACATGCTCAAGCATTAAGTCTGTCTGGTGAATCCGGTTTAAATAATAAACTATGTCAAGTACTTTTTTTTATTGTTTCTGTGCTTCAATTTCCAGAGATCATCTTCTCTTTTTATCTTATTTTGAAGAATTTTCTATAGGTGTTGCTTCATGGTACAACGTTAAAGTCATTTTGTTTATAACAAACTGTCAGACGTCAAGGTCAAACACTGAGCTGCACACTTCGGGTGACAGGCAGAAATCAATGGAGGTTAATTTAATTCTTCTTCTAAGTTGTTCTTTATAAATATAAGTACAACATTGGTCACCTTCTATACACCTGAGTGCATTTCCCGGGCGAGAGCCAACAGGTCATATTTTTTAAATCCTCTGGAGCAGAGAGGAGCTGTGGATTATTGTTATTGATTAATGCATCAGTGTTTCAAAAAACACTAAACTCACTACTTAAAATGAAAGCGTTTAGTTTATTTAATAAAAGAGCACATGTTCAAAGTGACAGTAGATTACAAAAATAAATAAAATTAGGGCGCAGCGCCCCTCCAAGGCAATGGTAGGGGAAACACTGGAGTGCTACATGTACCAGCCTCTATGAAGTGAAAGTACTTTATATCACCACATACATCAACCCAATTGAATTACAAGCCACAGTGACATTTAGAAGAGTGAAGATGTAGTTTCATCTTTGAAACTGTCACACTTTTTCGAGACAAATTGTCCTTGGCACGCAGAGTGAGTCTCCAGGTCTGTGTGTGCGTGTGACAGCATTTGTTCCCCTGCATGGGAACAGACTTATCAGTTCAGCTGGAGGTACAGCGAGTCGACCATGCCTTCTGTCTGACAGCACGCAGAGGAACAGGGAAAGAGGTTGCTATAGAAACAACATTTTATCACAACACGGCAAAGATCTGGGACAAAAGCACCTCTCACCATCACTGACAATTTCCACAACCAGATGTATTGTGTGTGCGTTTAGCTATCAGACGGTTATTGAGCGGCGTGCCTGATTGCACATTTCACCCCCGGCTCGATCAATCCCCTTTCATAACTTCATTACATCATAGTGTTCAGATGAAGGGTTCATACGCAGTTGTAGTATACAATTAGATTATATATTTTTGCAAGTTTCAAAGACATTTTAAACTAATTTCATTACTACATTGGTCCTGCTGGACCCAGGTCAGCTGGCTGTTTCCCCACCTCGTGAAGCAGCTTCTCCAGCTTCTCCTGCAGCTCAGCGAAGTAGCGGGAGGTAACCAGGCCTTTCTGGGACTTGTCCAGGCAGTCTCTGAGCAGCTCCACCAACTGGTGCTGGATGAAGCCCAGCACCCCGTCAGCCAGAGGGAGGGAGCTGTCTGGAGAGCAGTGGGTGATAATCTCAAACAAGCGCTCCTCCATCTGGGCCGTGGCCTGCAGGGACGACAACACAAACACACAGTTAACACATTAAAAGACAGCTTATTATTACTTTTTTATTCTTCGCAGCCCCAAATATTCATTATATTTCTGTGGGTAAAGTCATATATTTATTACCAGTGATGCAATTTAATGACATGTGTAGCAGCTAAGACTTGTGAATTTCCAACATCTGTTTTTATTTTTGAGTTTTAAGACAATTCAGATTTCACTATGGCTGCAGTAGGTTTTTTCATAAATGTTTTTTGGTTAGTACCTTTGGAAAACGTTCCTTGTAAACATGGTTCATCATGACAATCTCATTATCAAATGAGACGTTTGATCGCCCGGGGCTGCAACAGAAACAAAAGTACAGGTTAGAATATTTCACTTGACAGTATTGTAAGAAAACATATGAAGCCAGCAGCTCTAGGCACTAACGCTACACTCAGATATGATTTGCTGTAAGGCTTTGATGTTTCGACACCACCAGCAGAGGTTTATTCTGACCAAACAGTGTGAATCATCAACATCTCTCAATTAGTCATTTACTGGAACACCACTTCAGTGTTTAGGCAGATGAGACGAGTGTATTTTCACAAAAAGAATCTTGCTTGATGAGGCTTCAAAGAGAACAGATGGAGGGAAAACCTATCACATCCAAACAGGCTCCCTAAGCTGTGTTTTTGTCATGAAAGACGCCTCTGTTAAAGTGGATGGCTGCAGCCCAACACACACTGCTGCGGCTCACTGAGGCTCTCTGCATCAGGCCCCCCCGCCCCCTCACACAACCCCCAACCCTCGACTTCAGTTCAGCAGTTGGATCCCTGAGGCGCTCTGTCAGCTAGCATGCCCACGCACTGCACACCATGGTGCCAGAACACAGAGCACTCAGGCATCGCACAAACAACACAGAGCAGAGCCAACACACAAAAGTTGTGGAAAAGCTCTGCAGTCAGATCCGCCTGCCGGGCCAACAGGCGCGTGTAATCTACGAGACACACGTTTGCATGTGATTTTGTCATGGTCATACCGAAGACATGACACGTTGACATATGACAGTCTACCTGTACATCGTGACATACATAATGTTCTTATAAACATTGCAACACATGCATCACTGTCCAAAATTAAACTGAAATGGGTTATTTTCCCAAGCAAAGAGGTAGTTAATCCCAGGAAGGATTACTGCATTTAATCTGTAGAAATTATTCATTTCATATGATGACGGGCCAAGAAACAATATTAAAAGGAGGTTTGGAGCCGGTTCAGACTGGGTTTTGAAACATGAGAATATAGTGGTGAACACACGTGTGACTATCTAACATCTCAGAGAAAAAGAATAAACACTTCATAGACACAGGTTAAATTGTGCATCAAGAAAAGTAAATAAAGTCATTTAAATACTCAATATGTTGCTTAGGAATTACCCCATAAGCACTAAATACCTAGCATTATAGAAGACACATTCGATTAAAAGGTGAAATCAGTTTCAGCTACCTGAGGCTCCGAGACCGAGGTCGTATGAGCGTGGAGTGCCGCCCATCCTCGTCGGTCATGCTGTCTGTGCTGCGGAAGTGTTTGAAGAGGAAGTGCAGCTCATCTTGAGTCGGCTGGTAGGGAAGCTGGTGAAGACGCTCCTGGGAGGAGGAGGAGGACTGCAGACACAAAGATGGATACATCAGTCCAGAAGATTTAGTATTTTCTACATTCAAAAAGTTAGAATCTACACATTCTTTTGCTGTTTTTTTAGCTTAAAAGCACATTATCTTTTAAAACACCATGGATAAATGCTATGATATTTACAAGAATAATAAAGACAGTTGCTAAGGGAGATGATGTGATTCAAAAACACCATGCTGCAATGTTTATACCAGGCCATTATATCTGATCCAGTGAGTTTAATAAGAGGCAGCAGCTGGGACCTCACTGATGGAATAAAAACAATATCTGGTAGACAATAAGAAGCAAAAAAAAGGGAGATTTATGTGGAACTATTTCATGACCCAGAATATTAATTTGTTTTTTTTTACAGTGGATTTTTTTTTTTAACATTAAGACGAATAAATGAAAGGTTTTACCCACTTTATATTAATAATAATGTATTCATATAGTCTTTGCCGGGATGGAAAGGGAATACATATTGGGTTGTAACACATGTTCAAACATCAACAGCTTTTCTTGGAAATGGATGATTAGTGAAATGAAGTTAAGCAAAAGACCAATTTAATAAGGTGCTAAATATAACAGTTTGTCAAACTCAAGATAACAGTTCCATTAATCCATGCTACTTCCTTCTGTAAAGAGGATGTTGCTGTTTCTCATGTCTTGCCAGAGGCATCACTCTGTACATTTGGATAAGAGACACTACTGCTAAAAACACATGTAGACCTTAATTCTGGGCAGTTTGCAATAAAGTTGCTCCTTGTATTTGCAACATTTAAAGGTTATGTTTATGACGATAGCAGCATATTGCATTCTGTGTCAACATAAGCCTGTCCTGGTAACACACCTGTGGAGGATTTATAAGAGGCTGCTGTATGAATTTAGAATAGTAATCAAACAGTGAAACATGAACATCTCCAGCCAATAATTAAAGCTTTTCTTCCAGTAATGGGGTATATATAAATTACCGTAGTAGATCAGAGACATTGATATTTATCTAATTAAGTTATGTTCAACGTCTACTGAGACACTGAGTGAACTCTTTCCAAGCTGAAAGGGACATAATGTACGATGCAAGCAATCTGTTGAATGTTGCCGTCTGTTCTGTCCTAAACCAGAGGGACAGCATCTGTGGAGTCTCTTTATTATGCCTCAGTATAAAGAGGGCAGTGAGGGCCACTGAAGAGCCCTATTGTCCCCACTGACCTCGGCCTCTGCGGCTGGGTCTACCCCATAAATCCTATAATAGCTGCACATGGCAGTCTCACCACAGACTCAGCACACTATTCCCCCATCGCACGCTGCTCATTTGAAATTTCATTAAGTTATTTTGTGACCAATACAATTGCAGCTTTATTCTAAATTGTTAAATATATTCAAATAAGACATTTAATATATACAGAAAAATATATCTTTGAAGTGCTTTCACATCCTGTAAATTTTTTTATTTATCATCAAAAGTAATTGAGGGAATAATCTTTTATAATTACCTAACAGAAAACCAGGCCATTTTAACATAATTATTACAGCTGATGTTGATGAAGAAATCAAAGACAAAGTCCTTGAGAAATTGTGAAAGTGACAACTATGTGATGTTGTGCTGAAAAGGTTTTCTTTGTTGAAATTGGACCATTGCAGCAGGTCTATGATGTGGCATTTGTATATCCTAACTGTAGGTGCAGTTGTTAAATAAAGGGACAAGAAGGTGTGTTATATTAAGGAAAAAGCCTCTATTTTCCTTTCTCTGTTTGTATTTGTGTCTATTGGTGTGATGATAGTTACTGACTGCAGGGCATAGTTAATTGTTTACTGTTAGATGACTGGAGATAAACCCTGCAGCTGTCTGATAGAGGGCACGACACGGGATGAATGAGGCAACTTTCAGCCTGCATTTTGTGGATTTATGCTGCAACATATGATTCGTGTAATCCACGATTTATTTGTCTTTTTTTTGGGTTAATAGTTTGAAAAATGGCAGAAATTTGCAAGAAACTGCCATTTCAATTTCCCAGAGTCCAATGTGTTCAGATGGCATGTTTTGTTCTACAAGCAATCCAAAATATTTTATATTAAAAACAGAAAAGCAGCACATTCTGTCATTCAAAATGCTATAAACTGCTAATATTGGAACATTTTAGGGCTGCAACCTGGCTGCAACCGATCACTTTCAAGATAAATCTGCAGATAATTTCTAGATTAATCTTGTGGGCTATAATAAGTCAGAAATCACAATGTCCCTGAGGTTTTCAGAAAACAGTGCACATCTCAATTGTTTAATTGAATGGCTGTAAAGCAGACAAAAATAGCAAATATTTGAGAAGAGGGAAGGTTTTGTATATAAAATGACAAACATTTTAATACTAAATATTTAAGTCTATACTAAGTTGGTTCATTTTCTGTCTGTCTAATGATTGAATAATCAGCACTATTAATTACTGTTCACCCTCGTATTGCAATTACATTTGCTCAGATTAATGGTATTGGTCATAGTGTGCCCCTTCACTTCAGGACCAGAGGACAACATTTATTAATCACAGAATGAATAGGTGGTGTGTTGACGAAGGGCTCCGGCAATAGTTATGTAAAGATATGGTGAGTAGATAGCGATGCAGCAGGAGATTTACGAGAGAGCTGGTGTAGTCAGATATAACTTTAGTACTATTACCAAATTTTTTCCTTTTGAATTGGTTTTGGTCTCTAAAATTATTTATTTTGTATGTGAGAAAGCACTTACCTAATGTAAAATAATACAGTTCATGACAGGTTCGACAGTTGGACAGAGTCTGTCCCAGTCAGGACATAGTGTCCTTTAATATTATTCTCTAAAATATAAATTTCATGTTATTGGAGACGTTAACACTCGTAGCCTCCATCCCCGGTATAGGTGTAGTCGGAAAAACTTTCGATTAAGCCACATTTTCAATAATAAAAATGTTTGTTATAGTGATGGACCCACTAATAAGAAAGGAATGTCATGATGATCTCCTACCCTTAAACCGTTTCGTTTAAGATAAGTAAAATTATAAGCTGGGGGTTTTTGTCAACTGGGCTAACTTGCTTTTACATGTATAGGGATATTTTATTTATTTCTTACTACCCTTACAAAAATGTTTGTTTTCCTTTAAAGTTTATAATTTTATGATGTACAAGTCTTATTCATATCTTGGTTGCCCCGACGGTGCCTAGACTATGTTCTTGACTAGGTCTAAACTGTTACATAGACTGCAGTCTTTGCCCTCGAGGCGGATATAGCCTGTTGAGATGGGATAGTCCCCTTGACTCTCCAACGGCACGTACCGATTTCGTTACCCATTGTACTACGGAGCGACGGGCGGGTGGGAGTGAAACTTCCCCCCCGCACCAGTCGACTGTCGAGTAAAGGTGTCTTAGTTCGGAACCACTTCTGTCCCGACCTTTATCTGCGTTTATTCTCGTTTTACTCGCGGTATCGATTTCCGTACTAGACAAACCATAAAACCTTTTTTAAGTGTCTGTCATATATCCATACCGGGATGTTATATAATAAGTTTATATCTACTATCCGAAGGGGGTTGGTAACTAGCGAAATTCAAGTTGTTACACTTGGGTTACTGGTTACTTTATTATTTTATTTGGATGGGCATAGGGAGACTACGCTCATAAGACCGCTCTACCCCGGACACACGAACCCTGGGGTGAAGACCTTCGAAGTCTGAGTTGTCGTCGATTGACTGTCACCCAGTTCGAAAGTGTGGGGGGGGAGGGGGGGAGTTGGAGGGGTAGAGGTTCTCACAGAAGAATGTCGCCGAGGAGGAGTCCTCCAGCGGAGGCCCGATACACCCCGTGGAACTTCTGTGGTCCTTCTTGTCAACAATTTTTAATACCTCTAAAGTCGCACGAACAGGATCTATGCTAGTCTTGTCTTATCTTTTGCTGTCGGCAACTCAATAATGGATGTCTCCGAATGATAGTTTGCTGTCCCGTTATGACGAAGTCCTTTATAGTATCGAGTTCTAAAACCAAAGTATAATGTCTCAAAGAAACTAAACAGCAACCTACGTGTAGATGCGTAGTCAAAGGACAAGAATCGACTGTCCTCATCTTTGACTACACCCTAGAAGACGACGGAGTCAATCCAAAACTGTACAAAGAGTCTCTACGAGGAAACGTATAGAGTCAACATCGTTCAAGATATAAGACCAATGACAACGAATGATAGTCGAGTTCATCAGAATAGACCTGGTTAAAGTTTGGAAAAGGTTACTATTTCACGAAAAACGGGACTCTAGACGACGGAGTAACCTATAAAAGTAATAAGTGAGACACAAGTATATGTCAATTGTTCGCAACTTGCCGTTAACATCGATTATCTCCTGTACTCTCATACACTAATAGATAACACGACCTCCTATTTTCCTTTGATGTAAATTTCTTTTTCGTTTTTTAAAACCGAAGTTGTAGAAATGAATACGTTCATTATTATGAGTTACAAACGTCTTGTTAGGTGTAGAGACAAGGAACATCTAACTTTAAACCAAGAGACACATTTACAGCCATAAATAATTCACGAGAAGCCTACTTTAAGTATCTTGTTTACTTAGTCTCTCTTTAACTCTTCTGTTTTTTTTTTTATTTTATTAGTAACACAATTATTTTTTGCTTCAAACATCTTTACGTCGAAATACTATCACCACATAGGTTGTTGTAACACTGTCAAACCGCCAGGTATTAGTGTATTTCCAGTAGTCGTATAGTCTACAAAGTAACCATTTATATAAATTTCACAATACCTCGAGAAACAGACATTGAATAAGGAACACATTATTGGGAAATAAAAAACATAGGAAGAATCAGTTTGTTTACAACTTTTTGTGATTGGAATTCGAATTAAAATAAAAGGAAGTAAAACGACGCCACAACGTATTAAAGTCACGTCTGCTTTCTAGGAAAGGGTCCAGGACGAAATCTTCAAAACAAAGTGACAGATACGTATTTTGATTAGGAGTTTTAAGTAGAATAAAACGATACGAAGAGGTAA